ATCACCACCTTGAACGTTCCCTGAACATAAACCCGCTCACTAGGTTTATCAGCCAGGAACCAGCTGTGATCGTCACATTTTGACTGCTCTTGTTCGGACGTTTTACGTGGACCCTGAGCAATAACTTACACGGTTATCACCCTCACTTCAACATGTCTTCCAGCCGCACCCAGAAGAACCTCCAGCAGGAGCTGGACGACAACGACTTCGAACTCTCACAGGCCCAGTACCTTGAGATGGTTGAGGAGATCAAGAAACTCCGTGCCTACATCCAGGGACAGGCCAGCCAGAACAACGAAGTAGAAAAACTCAAGGCCGAGGTCAAGACACTTCGAAGCGCCGCCAACATCGTCAACACCCCGGTCAAACCCAAGGAATCCATCAAGCTCGCCAACCCAACCCCCTATGATGGTTCCCCGGGACAGTTACAGGCCTACCTCACCCAGGTTAGGGCTTACCAGCGCTTCCACGGCCTCGACAATCAGTCCGATGGAGAACGAGTTATGCATGCGGCCTCCTTCTTGAAAGGACGGGCCCTAGCATGGTTCGAACCTTACCTCACGGACTTCCTCGAAAAAGACGAGTTCGAACAATGCAAGCAAGAAACCCAGGACATCTTCAGCAACTTCAAGAACTATGAGCTCGCCCTCAGGTCACTCTTCCAGGACCCGGATGAGGAACGACAAGCAGAAAGGGAACTCATGAGACTACGCCAGAAGGGACCCGCCACAACTTACGCCGCGGAGTTCCGCCGAATCTGTGCCAGAGTCGACTATACTGACACCACGAAGATCTTCATGTTCTACAACGGGTTGAAAGACGAAGTGAAGGACGAACTATCCAAACTGGACCGACCGGACGATTTCATTCAATACGTGGAATTGGCCATCCGAATCGACAACCGAATCTACGAGCGCAAACTCGAGAAGAAGGGGCAGGACCCAACACGTCCCTTCCGCCAGCAAAACAAGCCAAACTCCGGAAAACGGTACCAGCCACGGACAACAGCCAGCGGGCAGCATTCGGGCCCAATGGAACTCGACGCCGCTCAAAAGAAACCTAGAAAGGACGTCGAATGCTACAACTGTGGCAAGAAAGGACACTTCGCACGAGATTGCCGAAGTAAGAAGAAGGATGACTGGAAACCAGTACCAGAGCAACGACAGGCCAACCTGGCCACCAAGGAACCCGCGGAAAACCATGCGTCCACGAGCTGGACGGCGTGCTACAACGACAACTGCAATACGCACCTTTCGAGCAAAGAAGCGTCAGGATGGTTCCCAAAGGCGCCCAAGGGCCAGAAGACTCTCGCAGTAGCAGAACGGAAGCCACTCGCGATCGCAGTCGGCACTAACCAGGTAGCACCTCTAGATCTGAAGGACTGGAACCCCCACGAGCAGGTAGGTAAGGCACCCCCCGTGGCACCTGACACCAGCATCACCCGAATTGCGATCCCAGGACGGGATAGGAGCGCAGTGACATCAGCGGTCCGCGAAGGACTCCCTGCGCTGCCACCAGCGCGTTTTCCCAACGACGACCCTCGAATGCACCATCAGCACCTAAACCACAAGGAAATCTCATGGGCTTCGTGCATCTTCGACAGGTGTGGGATACACTACGCAAGCAAGATCAAGGAGGATTTCTTCCCCGAACGGCTAGGCATGATGGAGATGGCAAGGCTCTATGAGCAGAAGGAACTGCAATACTGGAGCATCCAACAATACTCCCCGGGCCAAGGATATGCGATCCTCGAACTTCGGACAGACTACCCCCTACACTGCCTACGGAACCCTGGACCATGGAGGCACTGTCTGCAGACCAGCTGTCAGATACACCTCAAACTGAAACTCCAGGACTGGCACCGACGCTGCCAACCCGACGTAGTCTCACCGCTCAACAAAGAAGACATGACGCCGAAAGACCTCACTACCGCAGCACAAGCGCTGAGGGCAGCAAAAGGGCTCACACAAGGAGCCATCCAACGGATTGAGAAGATCCTGGTAGAAGACCAGATGACAAAAAACGACCAAGGCCGAGTCTAAACGAGCCTCGACCGGCCTCGACCAACACGAAAAGGTCTCTCTGCGCAACAGACACCAGAGAATGCGAGCACATGAAAATCACACTGCAGATTGGACAACGACCCCTTACGGCACTCCTAGACAGCGGAGCACAAGGAAACTTCATATCACCAGCAGTAGTGAACCGATACGAGATACCATGGCAACAGAAAACGGAACCCTACGCACTCAGCACTATCGACGGACAAGAGGTACTCTACGGAAACGGGATCATCGACAT